ATTCAGCAGCTGTTGAAACTGATCAGTTTCAGCAGCGGCTGAATCTGGACGCCAGTTCCGACTTACATACAGATTCAACTTAAGAACAAACCTACAGTCCCTATCTTGTACGTAACCCGTGGACTGCCTGTATAAACAACAGGGTGAAATCCTGGCCTCACTGATTTCAATGCAGAGATCTGTGTTAACTGGAGGCTCTCATTCAGCAGCTGTTGAAACTGATCAGTTTCAGCAGCGGCTGAATCTGGACGCCAGTTCCGACTTACATACAGATTCAACTTAAGAACAAACCTACAGTCCCTATCTTGTACGTAACCCGTGGACTGCCTGTATAAACAACAGGGTGAAATCCTGGCCTCACTGATTTCAATGCAGAGATCTGTGTTAACTGGAGGCTCTCTCTAAGAAGGAGATAAAAATTAATATAGAAATTCACACTAACTCTATGGAAAGGGAAAGCTTTCTCAGACTGGGCATGTCTACACAGCAGGGCTAGAGAAGCTGAATTAAGCTATGCAGCTTCAACTATGTCAATTGCGTAGTTTAATCGAAATAGCTTCATTCGACTTTTAGCGCTGTCTGCACAGCAGGAAGTGGAAGGAAGATCCCTCTTCCTCTGACTTCCCTTACTCCTCGTGAAACGAGGGTTACAGGAGGCAGAGTAAGAAGTCCTCCCGCTCGACGTTGTGTCGAAATACAGGCTGGCAGCTCTATTCCTTTGTAGTGTAGACGCTCACTGTGTTACTTCGGAATAACTAAAGTTATTCAGAAATAACGCTGCCATGTAGACGTACCCAGAGTGAGTTCCAGTAGCATGTTCAAGAGTCTCCATGGGAAAGGGATGGCATAGAAAGTACATTTATAAAATTTGCAGTTGATACCAAGCTAGGAGAGGTAGCAAGTGCTTCAGAGGATAGAATTATAATTCATAATGATCTGGACAAACTGGAGAAATGATCTGAAGTAAATAGGATGAAATTCAACAAGGACAAATGAAAGTACTCCAATATGGAAGGAACAATAAGGTGCATGCATACAGAATGGGAAATGACTGCCTAGAAATTAGTGCAGTGGAAAGGAATCTTGTGATACTGTTGCAGAAAAACAACAACACACAAATACAGTAAAACTCTATTGGTCCGGCATCCAATGCTCCGGCACTCCTGATGGTCCAGCACCATCAGGAACCTGTAAGTGCTCTGGCTGCTGGACAATTGGAGCTGCTCTGCGCCTGGCCTTCCCGATTCAGCCACTGCTGAAACTGACCAGCAGCTGAATCGGCAGAAGCTGGGGGCAGAGCAGCTGAGGTGCTGCTGGTTTGGTCCCGTAGTGCTGCCCCTTGGGGCAGTAGGGATGCTCTTGGGGACGCCTGAGGCAGAGCAGCTGGAGTGCTGCCGGGTTGGTCCCGCAGCGCCGCCCCTCGGGGATGCGGGACCAACCCGGCAGCACTCCAGCTGCTCTGCCTCAGGCGTCCCCAAGAGCATCCCTACTGCCCCAAGGGGCAGCACTACGGGACCAAACCAGCAGCACCTCAGCTCCTCTGCCCCCAGCTTCTGCCGATTCAGCTGCTGGTCAGTTTCAGCAGCGGCTGAATCGGGGATGCCTGGGGCAGAGCCGGACTATTGGAAGGGGGGGCTAGGAGGGGTCCCCCCACCCCATCCCAGACCCCTCCTAGCGCCCCCTTCCGATAGTCCGGCACATCTGATAATCCGGCACCTCCTGGGTCCTAAAGGTGCCGGATTATCGGAAGTTTACTGTATCATTCTGGGATGTATTAGTAGGAGTGCTGCAAGCAGGACACGAGTAGTAATTCTTCCTTGCTACTCTGCACTGATTAGGTCTAACCTGTAGTAGTATATTCAGTTCTGGGAGCCATATTTCAGGAAATCTATGGAGAAATTGGAGAAGGTCCACAGATGAGCAACAAAAATGATTAAAGGTTTAGAAGACTTGACCTATGATGCAAGACTAAAAATACTGGGTTTGGTTAGTGTGGAAAAGAGAAGAGGGGACATGATAAACATTTTCAAGTACCTAAAGGGGTGTTACAAGAAAGAGGGAGAAAACTATTCTCCTTATCCTCGGATGACAGGACAAGAGGCAAGATGTTTAAATTGCAGCAAGGGAAGTTTAGGTTGTATATTAGGAAAAACTTCCTGTTAGGATGGCTTAGGCAGGTTGTGGAATCTCCATCATTGGTAATTTTTAAGAGCAGTTTAGACAAACACCAGTCAGGAATGTTCAAGATAATATTGTGCCCTGCCATGCGTGCAGTGGAGTGGACTAGATGTTCTCTTGAGGTCTCTCCCAGTCCCATGATTCTGAGATGCTACCAAAGTCCTGATCACCCAGACCATCTCAAGTTTCACTATTAGAACATATATTATAAGGAAATGGCAGGAGACTAAACTTTGAGCATCAGTCTTCTTCGGTTATAATTCATATGAGTTATGTCATAGAAGGCAGTTTCCAAGTTGTGAGCCAGCGACAGTTCTTAAGGACTATATTAGGAGACAGAAGCCCAGTTTTTGAAAGGATTACTTATGCAATTTATGTTAGACAAGTAAAACAAGAGCCCAGTTTCTTCCCCCAGGAGCTCACAATTGAATAAAGATAAAAGCAAGGGACTCTGAATGAATGAGAAGTAGAAAAGCTTTAATAAGTTGATGAAATGCTTTTTTTAAACAACTTGGCATAGAAAATTTTTTTAAAAAAGTTTATAAACTAATGTTTTCCCAGTTCCAAGATATGATGAAAAGGAATAGCCAAAATAACTAGAAATGTTGTGCGCTCCAGAGAAATGTGTTAGTTTTAAGAAAGGGAAACATTTGTTCTTTGCTTTTGTTTGAATAAAGAAAAGTTATTTACTTATTTCCACAACATAAGAACTAAGGGTCACCAGATGAAATTAATAGGTAGCAGGTTTAAAACAAACAAAAGGAAGTTTTTCTTCACTCAGCACATAGTCAACCTGTGGAACTCCCTGCCAGAGGATGTGGTGAAGGCTAGGACTTTAACAGGGTTCAAAATAGAACTAGATGGATTCATGAAGGTTAGGTCCATCAGTGGTTATTAGCCAGGATGGGTAGGAATCGTGTCCCTAGTCTCTGTTTGTCTAGAAATGGGTGACAGGAGAGGGATCACATGAGGATTACCTGTTGTGCTCCCTCCCTCTAGGGCATCTGGTATTGGCCACTGTTGGCAGATGGACTGTTGGTCTGACCCAGTATGGCTGTTCTTATGTTCTTATGTTTTAGGTGCTGTTTTTCCCATCATTGCTGTATGGAGCAAGTTAAAAAACTTGGATGCCAGCCAGAAGGAAGTATGAGATCTGAAGTCATATGTTTAGATCACAAACCAAAGTGTAAGTTTGGTGAGATGATTAAGTTTGACAATCCCTTTGAGCAAAATTGAGATCAATATAGAATCACACAAATAGAACACAATCACAGAAATTAGCAACTGGGAAAATATGTTTTGTTCAACATCTTCATGAATGATTTAGATAGTGGCATAGAGAGTATGCTTATAAAATTTGTGGATGATACCAAGATGGGAGGGGTTACCAGTACATTGGAGGGTAGGATTATAATTCAAAATTATCTGCGTAGACTGGAGAAATGGTCTGAGATAAACAGGATAAAATTCAAAATGGACAAATGCAAGGTACTTCAATTTGGAAGGAACAATCAGTTTCACACAAACAGAATGGGAAGTGACAGTCTAGGAAGGAGTACTGCAGAAAGGAATCAGGGTCATAGTGGACTACAAGCTAAAGATGAGTCAACAATCTGACACTGTTGCAAAAAAAGCAAACATGATTCTGGGATGTATTAACAAGAGTGTTGTGGGCAAGATATGAGAAATAATTCTTCTGCCCTGCTCTGTGCTGATTAGGCCTCAACTATAGTAGTGTGTCGAGCTCTGGGCACCACATTTAAGAAAAGATGTGGAGAAATTGGAGAAGGTCCATAGAAGAGCAACAAAAATACTTAAAGGTCTAGAGAACATGAGCTCTGGGGGAAGACTTAAAGAATTGGGCTTGTTTAGTCTGGAAAAGAGAAGACTGAGAGGGGACATGATATCAGCTTTCGAGTACTTAAAAGGTTGTTACAAGGAGTAGGGAGAAGGATTGCTCTGCTTAACCTCTGAAGATAGGTCAAAAAGCAATGGGCATAAATTGCAGTTTGGGAGGTTTAGGTTGGACATTAGGAAAAGCTTCCTAACTGTCAGAGTGGTGAAGCACTGGAACAAATTGCCTAGGGAGGTTGTGAAGTCTCCATCATTGGGAAATTTTAAGAGCAGGTTAGACAAACATCTGTCAGGGATTATTCAGGTGGTGTGTGGTCCTGCAATGAGTGCAAGGAACTGGACTTGATGACTTCTCATGCTCTGTTTCAGATCTAATATTCTATGAAAAAATGTGTTATATTAATTGTGGTCTATAATCCATTTCGAATTGGCCTTGAGTAAGAAAAAAAAGTGATCAAGTTTAGGTGAGGTTTAGGTAGAGTGCGCTTCCTAAAGTTGACCTACACCTGAGCACTTTTCCTAGTTAAGCAAAACCTTGTTGTTGTCCACAGAGCACTGGTGGATCTCGGGGTATGGCTGGCTCCTCCCAGTAGGAGGGCACCTGACTGTACATTAGTCATTTTCAGAGTGCAAAGATCTACAAGTCCCACTGAAGTCAGTGGCGGCTGCAGTTTTTCAGCCTCTTAGAAAAATCAGATTAGGTGCCTAAATATGAATATTAAAAATCTGAGTTTGAAAATTGTGGATTGAAGCCTTACTATACGTTGTGCAGTTGACTAGATAATTTTGAAACTGCTTACACCACTTACACTTTGCTTTCAACCATTTTCTTGTTTTACATCTTTAAAACCTCCTTTTTAAGGCATTGGCTGGAGCATGTGCGAAAAGCTACTCTGTACCTGTGACAGGACAGCTGCTGAGTGTATGGCTGCCGCCTCTTTCAATGAAAGCTTGAGGTTCCTAACCAGGCAAGCATGCCAAGAGAACAAAGCCTCATGCCGGAGTGGCATAGCTGAAAGGCCCTCGGGTGCCATTGGAGTAGGCACCAGAACATCCAGTTCTGAAGAGAGCAGTGAGGAGGCAGGTCCGTGGAGGAGTGCTTTAAGAAGAATAAAGAGAGCTGCCCACCATCCACTGGGAAAAGCCAGATTCACAACACAGGAGAATAGTAACAGAGATGTAGCCGTGTTAGTCTAGTCTAGCTGAAAAAAAAACAGGACTATGTAGCACTTTAAAGACTAACAAGATGGTTTATTAGGTGATGAGCTTTCGTGGGGCAGACCCACTTCCTCAGATCAAATTGTGGAGATAGCTAAGTCTCTATGATCAATTGGGAAGCGGCATGGAGGGTTTCCCAATCAACCACTGTTGTGTTCTCTTTTATCTTTGTAAATTCTCTTTTCCATTTTCCTACAGACTAAGTAACAGGTTACATACATTAAGATATAGAACTCTGTACTACAGGGAAACCTGCACTAAGGACCTTTCCACTTGTCTTACATGATTATTTGAAAGCATCCAGAACAGTTTTGTTCAACTTTTAAGCAAAGACCCATCTGGCAAGTGACTGATGTTTGCTAACACCTCTGGTAGGTGTTAGACCATGAAGTTTTAATTAGTGGGACTACTCAGCTGTTTCAGAGTGAGTAGGGATGTGTGTATGTTTCAAAGGTCAGGGTCTTAAACAAAACAGGCTGTTCTCTCCAGTCCATTCTGAGCTTTTCTTGGTCTCAAGCTCACATTAGACATACAGTTTTGAATAAGCGGTGAGGAGTCCTGTGGCACCTTATAGACTAACCGAAGTATTGGAGCATAAGCATTCGTGGGCAAAGACCCACTTCATCAGATGCATGTCAGTGGGTCTTTGCCCACGAAAGCTTATGCTCCAACACTTCGATTAGTCTATAAGGTGCCACAGGACTCCTCACCGCTTATTCAAAACTGTATGTCTAATGTGAGCTTGAGACCAAGAAAAGCTAATAAGAAATTCTTATTGGTGGCTGAATGAACTTTTAGCCAGTTTGCAAGAAAGATTGGTGGTCTGGGATATTTTCTTCATCATCTAAAAATTCAAAGCAAGTTTTAAGCTCGGACTATAAATCAAAACACTCTCTCACTTTCTGATTTGACCTAAAATATTAAATACAATCTCACTGCATACGTGAGAGTAAATATTTTGTTTTTGTAATGCAGAAGATTTCTAGCAGTGCTCTCATATTATGCTTTAACTTAAATAGATCTATAAAATTACTGACAATCTTTACAACTACTCTTGATTTGATTTTATTGTAAATGTGAATTAACTTGAAGTAAACAGTTTACAACAATGTAATAAAACTCAAATGTTTTCAAATGAAAACTCTTTTGAGGTTCCTCTTGAAACAAATGAAGAATTTTCACTAACATTTTTTACAATAAAGAAACTTTTTACTAACTTATCATTGCAACATCTTACCTTTATTTTAGTGATCTGAAATTATTTCTGTATTTCCATTAAAACAAGAACCTGGAAAAGTCAGTCTGCTACTTAGTCATAAAAACTTTGCTCTTTGTTGAGTGCAAGGAAGTTGTGTAGTCCAACAACTAAAGCAAAGGCTCTGGAAGCAGAAGACCTGCACAGGTTCTTCCACATCATGAAGTTGTTTGTCTTTGCCCAAGTTATCTAGTCTTTTTGCCTTAAGTCAGCATTGTGATAATATTAGGTAAATATGCAATAGTCTCTTGAAATCCAGTGCTGCATTTCCATGTTCTTTGATAACTAAGTTATCATAAAACTGATGTTTATTTGATACTTACCATCTTTTTTTTAAAAGTACAAAGACAACTGAGAAAGTAGCTGTGCTTCAGTGTGAGGGGCTAGACTAGTTGGCTTTATAAGGTCTCTTCCAGAGTTGCATTTCTATTGTAATGATTTACAACATGGAGCAAAACAAGTGGAGAGAGAGCTTGCTTTTGTGACAGAGCAGAGGATTCTCTGATGGAGGTACAAGTTGTCATCAGAGGTCATAATTAAGAAAGCAACTAGCAAATGTTTAGGGAAATGTCCCACATGCAAAGGATCAAAATTCTGACCTCACAGTTGCTAATGAGAGTTTTTTCATTTAATTATATGGGTCCAGGGTTCCTGTCAGGCCTTTTAGGAAAAGCCAACCAAAGGAACAGCAACAAAGTAACACAAAAAACTGAAGGGAGGGATAGTATGTGGTTGTGAAGCCTCATTTTAGTAGAAGGAACCACTTCTTTCATTATCAAGTGAGGCATATACACCTCTTTTTACAATGCAAGTCTTCAGAAAACTGACAGAAAGCACTAAGCCTAAAACCATTTAATCACAAAAGGCATAAATGTTGGCCAAGTGGCTTGAGAAATAACACCCACAGAACAAACCAAATGAACCTCACAGACTCAAGATGCACAGCAGAGTCTGAAAATAACCATTTAAATATCCACTTTAAAAAAAAAGATTAATCTACAAGATGTCACTGCCCGTTATTCTCATCTGACACAGAGGATGAATTTTGATACTAAACAATGGGCATTTGTACTAATTTCAGAACTGGATCTTTAAAAGTTATCTTAACTGCCTTTTAAGCACAATGATTGCAATCATTTATAAATAAAAAATAACAAAAAGGTCAGTCAGCTAATTAGCTGAAAGGAAAAACTGGCCTTTGAAAGAAATGCAACTGACAGCAAATTCAAATGAGCACAAGCTAATTCCTCTGATATAGATTGATGCTGTTGCTCTGAAACCCTCCGATAAAATTAACATTCCAAAGAAACTGTTTTCTGATAACTATTTGGATTGAATATTACATACAGAACTCTCCAGCTCATAATGAACACAGTACCTTCTTTCAGAGATAAAGTTACAGGCCAATAATGCCTTCATCAGCTTTATTTAGCTTCTCCATCTGCCCTATTCAAACGATCCTTACCTACCTTATGTTAGTCAGACTCCCTTAGAAATATGCCATTATTTTACTGTGACCATTAGATGAAGTCATGTGTGCCTTCTGCAGACATTTTCCCCCACCTCTGGTATTTCATGAAGAATTTAATGTTCGTTAGACCAGTTAACATTACTACTTGTATCTAACCTTTTTTTTTACAAGTCTCCAGTCCTGAAAAGAACTTAATCACATACTTAATTTTACTCACGGACTAGGGGACCTGCTGAAATCATTGAAATTATTCAGCATGTAAAGTTCAGTGCTTACAGGATCAATGCCTATAAAATGAAATCTGAACTGAGTATCAACTGTTTTTAACATCCTACAGAATCTATCTCCATGATATTATAGATACATAAACACACAGTATCTATTTGAGAGATGCAGCCAAGTGTTTGAGAGAGTTTGTGAGAGTTTGAGTGTGTCTGTTTGTTTGTGAGTCTGTCCAAGAACTCCTCCTAAATGGTAAGAGCTATGACTGCCAAATTTGGTATGCAGCTTCCTCTTATCATAATTTAAGCAAGGGGAGGGTTTGGTTGTGCTAGGATAATGGAATGTGCAAGGAATGCAATTGTTTCTCATCAGTCAGAATGGGAAGGCTGCGATAACAGGAAGAGTTATACTGCAAAATGACCAGAAGCAGGCAGCAAGCAATAACACTCACCACCTCCCCCAACAGCCCCAGACAGCCACAGAGCAGCTGCAGGCTGGGGAATGCAGCCCCTTCCACCTGGGGAAGAGTTCCCTCCTGCCACATTGGGCCAGCTTTGAGGAGCAGCCGGTAGCTTCCCCCATCCTTTGCCCTGAGTCCTGCACCACCCACCTCCTGCCCTGAGCCCCCACATTTCCCAACCTACCCTGACTTCTGCACTTGCCACTTCATGAAGGACCTGAAAAATACCAGGTAAATCTTCTAGTATGTAATACAATACAATGAAATAGAAATCTGTGACAGGCATTTCTATTTATATTCAAACAACATAAGGTTTTACTCTACGGCTGCCTCTAGACTGGCATGATTTTCCGGAAATGCTTTTAACGGAAAAGTTTTCAGTTAAAAGCATTTTCGGAACAGAGCGTCTAGATTGGCATGGACGCTTTTCCGCAAAAGCACTTTTTGCGGAAAAGCGTGTCTAGATTGGGACGCTTTTCGCGATCGGGGCTTTTTTGCGGAAAACAAATCTGAGCTGTCTACACTGGCCCTTTTGCGCAAAAACTTTGTGCAAAAGGGACTTTTGCCTGAACGGGAGCAGAATAGTATTTCCGCAAGAAGCACTGATTTCTTAAAGTAGGAAGTCAGTGCTTTTGCGTAAATTCAAGCGGCCAGTGTACACAGCGGCTGATTTTTCCGGACACAACCTACTTGTAATTGTTTAGGGATAAGGTTGGCTAAACGCATCTATGTTCACAGTATGCAGCATTAATGCACATAACACAATAGGGTCATGGTCAGGAAGAACTAAGTAAATAAGAGCTAATGGCTGTTTACTGCCTCTATTAGATAATCAGGCATGTGACCCGGTTGCTGTAACTGTTTATGCACACCTATTTTTGCCAGTGGCCTAATCGATGTCCTAACATTAGGAAACATGTTCAATCAACAATCCCAACTACATTCAATGCCCAGGTCTGGCATTTCAGGAAAAGTGGTAACCTTGATCCCACAAGTCAGTAGGACTAGCTTTATTTCAATGCACATTTGCAGTACCACCCCCTGCCCGCAATGCAGATTTCCGTGTGTCAGAATAAAGCCAGGCAGCAATAGTCCCATGTTCTTGAGCAGTCTCTGAACTGCTGGGTCTACTCATCTGCCCAGCGTAAAGTAGTTGTCATAAGGCTGCATTTGTTTTGGCTCCCGCTTGTAACTCACACAGGCTTGGTCTATACGTAAAAGCTAGGATAAAACAACTAGGGTGTGAAAAAAACAATTCAGCCAACCCAGTGTAGGTGCAGCCATGTTGTTGGAAGAACGCTTCTGTCACACAGCTACTTTTGCTTAGGGAGGTGATATTCCTATATTGGGCTAGGCTGCGGGTACATTACAGGGTTATGATACCATAGTTGTGTCATATCCTCCAAATAGCCCTTTCATTGTCTTGCCAGGAGACAGAGTTTGGCCTGGCCCAGAATTTGCCTTCATTATTCAGTTTGCCATTATAAGTGTACAGAACCCTTTCATTTCACTTCACCTTCTTTACACATACCACTTCACTCAGAACGTGGCTTTGCTCTGCGTTGGTTCTGGGCTGTCTCAGCAAAATCCATAAGCTAGTGATCACAGCAATCTGGAAGGGCAGTAAGGGCTCCATGATGCAAAATAGCCATTATGATTTCCAACATAGGATTATGAAATTTGTGAAAGAAATCCTAGGCACAAAGAGAGGAGGGATGATCCAAGTTTGCCATAGGGCTTAGCTATTTAGAACATACGCCTCAAAAAGCTAAAAGAATGCTTGGTTGGGGATGATGGGGTGCCAGACAAGTTGTGTTGGTAGAAAAGTTGCAAAAATCATAGTGCGGAGTGGCTAGATTCTTATGTGTGGCTTTTGCGCAAAAACTTGCCAGCTGTCTACACTGGCCATTTGAATTTGCGCAAGAGCACTGACTTTGTAATGTACAAAATCAGCACTTCTTGCGCAAATACTTTCACACTCCCACTAGGGAAAAAGCCCTCCTGCGCAAGAATACTTGCGCAAGAGGGCCAGTGTAGACAGGGAAGAACTGTTTTGTGCAAAAAAGCCCCGATGGCTAAAATGGCGATCGGGGCTTTCTTGTGCAAAATCGTGTCTAGACTAGCCATAGATGCTTTTGTGCAAAAGCACTTTTTGCGCAAAAGCATCCATGCCAATCTAGATGCGCTTTTGCGGAAATACTTTTAACGGAAAAACTTTTCTGTTAAAAGTATTTCCGCAAAATCATGCCAGCCTAGACGCAGCCTAAGGGTACATCTACACAGCAGGGCTAAAGTCAAATTATGCTACACAACTTCAGCTACATCAATTGCATAGCTGAAGTCAAAATAGCTTAATTTGGCTTTTGGCACAGTCTACAAAGCAGGAAATCGAAGGAAGACCAACACTCATCCTTGGACTTCCCTTACTCCTCATGAAATGAGGGTTACCATGAGTCGGAATAAGAAGTCCTCCAGCTCACCGTTATTTTGAAATAATGGCTTGTATTGTAGTCGCGTTATTTTAGAATACCATCACTTATTCCGAAATAACGCTGCTGTGTAGACGGACCCTAAGATGATTTCAGAATTTGATCTAATTCTCTTCTACCACTATGAGATGGTCTTGATCCTGGGGCAAGGATTAACTCCACACTTAAGACAATTTGGGTAGAAAAAGGATTAAACAAAAATTAAAGATACAATACAAGATGATACATTGGCCTCCTTCAATTACACATGCGACTAATTTCAGCTGCCTCTGTATTTCAGCTGTTCCTTCTTTCAGCAGCTATGCTCCTCAAGGACTCATACAAGGAATAAGGGACAAGTGGTATGCGGCAGTTCTCATATTAAGAAATATGGAAACAAAAGTCACTCCGTAGGACTTATAGGTGGCTTAATGCTTTCCATTATCTTCTAGTCAATCTGTGTTTCAAAAATGGGAAAGAGAACATAGCCTTACTGTCATCAACAGAAACCTTGAAGGACATCTGGATTACTCGTGAAAGATATAGTTTTTTATCTTTGTGATTCTTCAAGAACAAGATATTGAACAGGTATTACTAGATTCCAGAAAGTTGTAACGTGTACAGTACATTCACTGTATAGTGCCAAACAGCCACATGCCAACCTTTCACACATCTTTGATACATGTCAAAAAATGAATGTATTCTGATTATGGATGTAAAGTTTTAACCCGCCAACCAGTAAGTATTGCCTTACCAGCATGCTTACGGGAGTAACTGGTTAACCGGCTTCTGGGTGAAGCAGCCCCCCCCACCTATTGCATGTCACGGATAGAGGACTGCTCCAGCCTGGCCAGGATCACCATGCGAGGGGCGCTCTAGCCTAGCCAGGCAGGAACAGCCCCTCAAGTTCTGATACATCATATTCAGTGCTCTTTCAAAAAGGACTACTTTTCCCTTCTCCAAGCTCATATATGTTAGGCTGGCATGTTAAAATGTGTTTATTCATGTAAACGTGTAACAACTGAAAATTTCAGCAGTTACATGTTTACAATTGGGGGCGGGGGAAAGCAGTTCCCTAGGAGCCGGTGCGCATGGGGAGCCAGCTTTTAAGCCAGCTCCCCTCACAGATAGGCTCCCTTGGAGCCACCACCCTCCCCCGTGCTGCTACCTCTGATTCAGAGACAGCAGCGCAGGGGATGGGGAGGGAGGACCATACATGGCCTGCATCTGCTCCAGGAGTGGGGGCTTGCTTGGGGCAGTGGCCCCTCTGTGCTGAAGCCTGTTGGGGAGGGGTACAGCTCTACTGCCTCCCCCTTCCCTGCACATGGTTTGGGGGGATGGTGCTTTGGGAGCTACCCCCACCCTCCAGCAGCCCTCCTCTACCCTGCAATCTTTTTTGGGGTGGCCTGGAGGGCTGGCCAGGCTCCATGGGCTTCCCCCAGACTTCAGGGCTCCCCTGCATCCTGCTGTCTGTCGGGGGGCACTAGTGTCTGGAAGCTGTTCCCAATCTCCAATAGCCCCCCTGCAGCCTGTGGAGGTGGAGGTGAGGTTCTGGGGGCTGTCTGGGGAGGGGTCAAACTCTCAGGGATCCTTATCCGTGTGCTGCCAGGCAAGATGGCAAAACCCCAGCCCTGCTGACCACTCTCTTGCTGCTGCAGCTGTCCTCAGCAGCCACTCAGTATCACATCCCTCCTGTCTGTGCCCCTCCCTTTCATATCCCTCTGCTCTCTGCCCCTTCCCTTTCTGTGTTATGGAAAATAGTCCTATTCTTGGCTCTTCCGTTTTCCAGACAAAACCAAACCCTGACCTTGGTTTTAGTTAGGGTAAGAGGAAGCTGCATACCAAATTTGGTGATCTTAGCTCTTACAGTTTAGGATGATAAACTTGAAGTGGGCTGTGCCCACGAAACTCATGATACCATCTACATGTTTTGTTAGTCTTTAAGGTGCTACTAGACTATTTATGGTTGAAATTAGTTAAGAATAGAATCATTAGATACATAAATAAATGTGACATGTTGGAACATGGCTTTTTGTAAAGGGTAATCATGCCTCACCAATTTGAATTCTTTGCCATTAGCAAGTGGACCAGGGTGATAAAGTCAAGATAGTATCCTTGGATTTTCAGAAAGCCTTTAAGATTTCTTACCAAAAGCTCTTAAACTAAGAAGTTTCAGGATAAGAGGAAAGATCCACTCTGATATTAGTAACTGGTTAAAAAGATAAAAATAAAGGTTAGGAACAAATGGTCAGTTTTCACTCTTGAGAGGGGTAAGAGGGTCGCCCTCAATGGTCTGCACTGGGACCAGTGCTGCTCAACATATTTATAAATGATCTGGAAAAAGGGGCAAACAGTAAGGTGGCAAAGTTTGCAGGTAATTATAATGAGTAATTCTGTAAGTCCAAAGCTGACTGTCAACAATTACAAAGAGATCTCTCAAAACTGATTGACTGGGCAACAAAATGGCAGATGAAATGCAACATTCATAAGTACATATTGGAAAACAATCACAGCTATTCATAAAACTTGATGGGGTGTAAGCAATTACCACTCAAAAAGATCTTGGATTCTCTTTGGATCGTTCTTTGAAAACATCTGCTCAGTGTGCAGCAGCAGTAAAAAACAAAACAAAACCCCAAAAAGAAACGTACACCCCCCACAGAAAGTTAGGAACCATTAGGAAAGGGTTAGGTAATGGAACAGAAAATATCCAGCATATACATCTATACAGTCATGATATGCCCACACTTTAAATACTGTGTGCAGTTGTGGTTGGCCACTTATAAAAAAAAGTATACAGAACTGGAAAACAGAGAAGGGCAACAAAAATGATGTGGTGTATGCAAAAGTCTACTTGTTGAGAGATTAAAAAACTGGACCTCTTCATTTTAGGAGATAACCAAGGTAGAGAGAAAATTCTAATCTACTGAATCATAAATGGTAAGCAGAAAGGCAGTAGAGAAATGTTACATACCCCTTAACATAACAAAAGAATTATGGATACCTTTATGAAATCAATGGGCAGGCAGATTTAAACCCACCAAAAGTAAATACTGCTTCACACAATGAACAGTCAACATATGGAATTGTTGCAAGGGGATGTAGTGAAGTAAACTATAACTGGTTCAAAAACAAATGAGATATTTTTTAAGAAAGTACATACATCAATGGCTAATAGCCACATTGGTCAGGGACACAACCCCAAGCTCTCTGGGTGTTCTTAAACTGCTAACTGCCAGAAACTAGGACTAGATGACAGGGGATGGATCATTTGAAATTGTCTGGTTCCCTGTTCATTCCCTCTGAAGCATCATAAATTGGCCATTTTCAGAACACAGTATACTGGCACTAAATGGACCATTGGATTGACCCAATATGGCCATAGGGATGCATTTTAAGTTTTTCTGCTGCTTAATATTTTGTTGGACTTTTCCAAAAAAATCCCAACTTTACGAAGTGAAATGTTTTGTGTTTACAAAATAACTGTTTCTATATTAAGTTAAAGTGTGCTTTGCTTCTTTACAATAAACAAATACCTTATTTAGGACAGCACTGATTTCTTGACCTCAAACATCTACAGTAATGAATCCTGAGTAAAATGAATCTGCAAACATTTTAACTTTTTGGTTTATTTTATTGCTGAAATGTACATTGCACAGTGTATTCTTACATTTCATGAAGCTGGTTTGATACCAACAGTACAGAATGTCTGGGAATCAACAAAACAATTAGCCCTACTCTGAATGGGCTAGTGTTGTTACTTCAGAATTAACACATAGTTTACATTAAAATGAACTGCTCTCAAAAACCATAATTACTCAGTGACATTACATTTAAAAGAATTTAAAGCATAAGCTGGAATACTTACAAATGTTAACTGGACATGAAGTCATAAACATTCAAACAGTATTAAAACTGTCACAGACACTACAGGCCCAGTGAGCACACATTGTATTCTAAGCTCTGCAACTATTTTCAAGACCAGGAAGAAATAAAGAATTCAAAGCAACAGTACACATTAAAACAATATTCTGACGAATTTGATTTCAAAATGCCTAAACAATTTACTACTTACAGTAAACTATCAGTACAACATATTATGCAGCAGACTTCCACAAATCCTCAATTCTCATCTGTCCAAAGTGGCCACAGTACTCAGTTTGCAGACTCTCTGCCTTTTCAGCAAGGGAGAAAGTATCTATCAGGTAAAGTCCCAGGAGATTACAGATCTTCAGTTCCTTACATCTGCACATTGTGAACAAGACTAGTCTGAATTTAGGACATGTGATAGCCTATTTTGTGATTAAATGAAAAAAAATCTTCCTGAATAGACTTCAAATGAATGGTAAATGAAATGTTGAATATAATTTTTCGCATGCAGGATACATGCAACAGAATTTAGTTAATTTGAGAAAATTCTGTATTTACACCACAGTCTGTGTATTACAAGAGTGCAAATGAAAGTACATTCTTTATTTCTTATTCTTTAGACTCTTTAATTCTATTTCTTCTTTGTACAAATGTGCACAGTGTTATTTTATAAAAATCACATCAGTGTGGATGATTGTTTTACATTGCGTCCCTAGCTTACACCTAATTAAAAAAATACATTCTGTTTATATAGGTCAAAATCTAATATCTTACCTTAAAAAACAAAAAGTGAAAACTAAAAGCTAAGGTGACAACGAGTTCTACTAATGCGGTTGACTCTGGTCTGATCAGGATGATACGTTGCAGCAGTAACAATCACAACGGAATGCTGTAGGTAAGAGGTTGTTTCGTCATCCACTAACAGCTGTGATTGCACTGTCAAACTGAAAAAAAGGTCTCAATTACCTTTCTGAATTTTGTGAATGCTTCCTGAAAATCTGTGTGTGCCATCTCATAGGTCTAAATAGCTGAAATGTCTCTGGGACTGTGCTATTTCACTCCTTTAAAGATAGTTTAAAGGAACATGGTACTTAAGGTTAAAAAGCCAGAAATCCTACATTTTGCCGTGCGAAAATTGCCAAGGACAATTAACCTATTGCTAGCTTCCTAATCAATTTAGAAGAAGAATTATTAATTTAATACACTATGCGTCTCAGCCCTGACCCAAAGACTTACTAAATTCAAAACCATATATTTAAGTATTGAGAATCTAAGTTGATTTGTTGTTTCAGAAAAATCCAGCAAGACCTAGATTAAAAAGCTTACTGCATATGGCACTGGACCATTACAACTTTTCAGTTATACACGCAGAATTTCTCAATAGGTTATGGAGAAATTGTCAGTTACCATCAAGGGCCAAACAACTTACTGTACAGTACAGTTTTATGTACAGAGCTAATAAAAAGTTAGTTGAAATTTATACTCAGGTACCTAAACCTATGAAAGTTAGCACATCTGTTTTCAGTAATCATGGGAAGACTTGTTATGTATGCAAACAGATAACTGCAAAATGCGTTTGCTTGAAAATACATCTAAATGTATAACTTTCAAGAGGATTCATCCACAGATTTCTTTAAATTGGCAAAATATCATTAAAAACCTATTTTCCTAAGCTACATAGAACATTTCATATATTCTTCTTATGTGTTTATAATTTCATAAATGAACAAGTATTTCAAGTACTTATCCATTTAAAATGCCCTCAGTTTGTTGCTGTACTAAATATATATCAATTATTTATTGTATTTCAGACATCAAAATACTACTGCATTTTCAAAAGCATAGTTTGTAAACTACACACATAAGACATGAAAAATATTGCACAAGTTGGAGCTCCAAGAGGAGGGTTTACATCTCTCAAGCAGAACATTGTATCTTTCGGCAGTAAACAGTACATGTACTAGATTTCTAAGAAGCACATTATGTTAATCATTCACCAGGAACAATATTTAACTACTGTCTGACCAGTCATATTTATTATTGAAATTGAATAGGTAATAAAAAAGGTTGTCTATTTAATGTATTCCAAAATAATGGAATAAACAGCACTAGATAGCAGTGGTATAGGTAGCTTAAGATATTGCTCCACTGAGACATGTGGTAAGAATAAGCATGCCCGACTCTACCCAAATCTGGAAACCCAGATGGAAGGAAACCACTAGGCACTGCAGATACATTACCCAATTCCAGGAAACTATTTCTATAAACCTATTATTTAAGTCTCTGAAATTATAATATGCTGACAAAAAAAGAAATATTTACTTTTGACTTAAGTGAATTGGAATATGAAAAATGACTGAATATGAAATAGTATGAAAACACAACAAGACTAATTTCAAGTATTAGAGAATATATAAAAAAATTGAAAGTTATTAAAAAAAAATCTTTCCTATATGCTGTGGGTACATCATTTCCCCTAAAATCTATTTACTTAATCTAAATTAAACAAAGAACTTGGAAAACTCATCTTGTTTATTGTACTTTACTCTAAATAATGTTCTGCAGACTTCAGAAGACACTTAATACACACAAAGATCTGGAAACTTCATCTCATAGACTGGAACGGATTGGTAATGAGCATGTCCAGCAGTAATTGTCATAGTTCCTGAGGGGCTTGGAGGAGGACTGTAAAGGGGGAAGAAGAAAAAGGTATATAATTTAAGGTTTCACAATGATATACTTACGTAATCTGTTATAACTTTTAATTTCATAGAGTATGTTTGGAAACTTAATATCAAATCTTTCAATCCTTACTGTGTCTTTTTCCTACATATCTAATGAAGACAAATTATAGGGGCTGATTTTTGTTTGCATCTTTGTTTGACTCACCAGCCTAATGGATGACAGCCTTATCTTGATAGGTATGTTTTTTATTTACCGTACTGCCTAAAATGCAAACCAGAGGTGTATGGCACTTCACAATACACAGATTGCATGTGCTCTAGGAATTAGGTAACAACACAGGGAAAAGGGAATATTCAACATTTTTGCAATCATGACAAATATATACCTAAAATACAAATATAAAGATACTCCAACACTGTGTTGTCAATATATATTTTCACATCTTTCAGCAAATATTTTCCAAAAATGAGGCTCAATTCTGCCCAGAGTTATATAGGTGGAGCTTCCTTGGGAACCCAATTAAACCCTAATGAATGGACACAATTGTCATGGATATCCCTGCAGTTATTGAAGATTATCTACACCAGCAAGTTACTGAGTTGAAACTCTCTTGCTCAGGGTGTGAAAAAGCATCTATGAGCGCAGCAAGTTTCAGCACAGTAACATGCTACATAGACAGGCTCCCAGTACTGCGAGGCTACACCCTTCATAGAGGTGCTATTCCTAAAGTGCTAGGAGAGCTCTTTTCCAGCACTGGTGCCATGACCACACTGTTGCATAGAAAAGCTGCTCTGTGGCAGCACTTTAATACTGTAAGTGTAGACCAAAGCCTTAATGGAAAAAACATGCTTTATTCTTAACAACAATACCTGTAATTCTATAGTTTGTATGGAAAACAAATTGACCTTTTAAAAAGAGATAATATTTTATGGGCTAATAGGCTGATCTTGACACAGGATATTTTCCTTTAAATAAAAACAAATTAGAATACTAACAATAAAATCAAATGTTTTGTAAGTGAGAATATTCAAATAAAGTCAATTACCTTAATGAATTAGCACATCACACATAAAACTAGCATCTTAAAGTACCACACCATTTTCTGACAAGTACCACTACTTTTAATTAATTTTATTTCATGCATAAAATCTTACCGGATGGTGAGCTCCAATATCTGTGCAAGTCTATCATGAAGTAGGTTTGCCTACAAGAAGAAAAAAAATAACTAGTTTAATGAGATCTTGTAAAATCATTGTAAAGAGAATGACTATAAGAAGCAGCCTAGACTGGTTTAGTGGAACATACTCTCAATCGCAGAGTTTTGCTTCCCTGTTGGAACAAGAACTGTTTAGTTGTATGAAAGCAAAAGAATTGCAACTGGGAATTTATGAACAAAACTTGAGAAATCAAAATCTACTTTAAAAGATTAAAAGGGAAGGTGGAAAAGGCCCACCCAGTCAAAGCATGTTGACATGATCCAAATGTTGCCCTTTATTGAAATTAGAGTGAAATAACGATGTCTTTGAAGACCAGTCTCAAAGGCAGAAAAGGTAAAAGTGTGTATATGTAGGGGGCCCAGTCCCCCTACCAGCCTGGTGTAAGGCTTAATTTTACCACAAGGAGTCTATCTGCAGTGAAATTGACATTCTTGTCAGTTTCACAGCTGCTATTATTTCACATTTCATCTTCAACTCTAGCTGTCAGACTCGCAGGCCTGAAAGTATCAGGAGAGGAAATATGCAGTCACAGAATCTGTGAATCAAGGATGTCAATTTCACTGCTGGAAGGCTTACTGCTGTGAAACTAAGCCCTGCCCAGCTCTCAGCTGGAGCTGTCAGCCCCAGGTAAGGGTTCCAGCTGAGACCCATGAGGCTGTCAGTGCACACACAATGCCCCACTTGTCAGTGAGTCAAGTACTCACAGGGAGGACACCAACAGCTGTGCAAACACTCCTGGTGGACACCAACAACTGATTTAATTGCTGATGTGGTTATATGTTGATCTAATTTTGTAGTATAGACCAACTAAAAGAAAGTTCACATACAGTCCTTAGGATGGTGGGGTCTTTAAAAATTTAGAGCACCGATAAAGTTAACAAGGCAAAAACTGTTTTAATAGTAAACTCTACCACAAATCACTCCCTGCCCCATCGCCATTACCACTTGTACAAAAGCCATTCAAAAATATTAAATGCTCTAAATTCTCACTTTTGTTTCACATTGTGCAGCAATTTCTTCAAAAGGTGCTTTCTGGAACTTTTCAATCACAAGACGCCTCTTCTCTTTTTCCTGCTCTTCAAGTCCAGTATTATCTTTTAAAAAATGAAGACAGTTCTAACTTATGCTTATATAGACTTCCTACAATAAGTGAATTGACAAAACATTTAGAGATTTCTCTCTCTTCATTTTTATTATTACTACTTAAAACAAAGACAAAAACAGAATTTTTTAAGTGAATGGTAAAAAGTAGCTGCAGCTTAGGCCAACTTACTGAGTAAATTCTAGTTAATCAAATTTCCTGTAATAACGGAACACATAATTGAGAAGCAGAGTAAAAAAGTGAATATAACATCATAGTCTCTGGTCCCAACTTATGAACTAAGTAGAAGTTTTGCCTGAATAGGGACTGAAGGATTTATCCAGGAAGTTACAAATAAAAATTGATTTACCAGCTGTTCAGTAAGTTATACCATCTACAGGTAAAGAGAAGAGTTTTCTAAGAAATGCTGAAGATCATTTGGTTTGTGGTTTCAAACCTGCGATATGATGAGAAACTAATATAGTATTTTAAGTGTACTATGCTGGCAAAGCCTTTTTTGTGACAAATATTTCATTTACTGAAGAACTGTAAATGTAACATTGCAATAAATCTCACCAATTGCTTTCTTCAAAGCTTCAAAGGTAATTTCTTCAGTATTGACCTAAAGGAAATAAGTGATTTTTAATTCAGTGAAACAAACTGCTGAAGAATATGTAAAGTTACAACCATAATTTGTCTCAAGTGGTGCAATGCTTTTTCTCCCAAAAGACTAAGGGCCAGATTTTTAAAGGTATTTAGGAGTTGCTGTGTTAATGCTGTACATTTGAAAAGGGATTTAGGCATTTAAGACCATTTTGAAAAATTAGATTTAAGTTTCTCAGTCAGTTGGGTATTGCAATGAGTGTAGGAATGTCTAAATACCTTTTACATTTTTAGCCTTTTAGTTTTTATTTAAAGAGGCAGATTACTATGAATACATAAAGTAATCTTATATTTCTTCAATACTGCAATGCTTCACTGTGACTGAAGATCAGTATAATGCAGAAGAGAAAGATTTGTAGTGAATCACCTTTTATTACAGACAGAACTGGTAGTTCAAGCCATACTTATGGTTGACTGATACTTCATTATAAAAAGACCCATTTTTAAGTTGCCTAGAAGTTAACAAAATTAATTATTTGTGTTGAAATGTATCTGTCTGACATCTGCCTCAAGTTGATTGGGGGGGAGAGCGGGTAAATTTCAGCAAAAATAGTTCAGCACTTCTGGGAATAAGATTAAGGAAAAATATATTTTATCTAGTGCTTTTATGCTTTGTAACACAGATTTGAAATTTGTCAAGGTGTGGCTTATGTGTCATTATATGCTTTTTGCAGGGCAGCTTCCCTCTTCCCCCTCCCCTGGGGAAGAGAAACAAAACAAAATAATTCTGCCAAGTTATAATAAGCCTTTGAAAAAACTTCAGCTTGCATATGCTCAGTAGAGACTTGTTAAGAAATGGCAGCTAAATTCTTTAAAATTTTTGCCTGAACTGAGCCTGTCCCACCGCAGGGCCGAGCAGGACTTTTCCTGTAATTACTGTTCTTGGCTGCTGAGAGTGGCTACGGAATCGAGCACTGGAACAGAGAAAGAGATTCAGCTCTGTGCTCTCAATACTTTCCCTCAGGCAATGTGAAGGAGGAAACTAACTCAAGTGGAGAGGATACAAGAGCCTGACTTGGAATTCGGAGGCAGAATGTTGTGAAATATAAAGGCAGGAGCAGATTGGAACAAAGAGCATGGTGTGGGAAGGAAAGACTGGGGCTGGGAACCAGGGAAGGTAGGCCCTAGGCCGGAAGAATGGGAGCAGTTTAGGCACAGGAGGGAAGTGGTGTGGGGACAGGCACATACTGGGCAAGGAGAAAGGTCTCAGCCATTTCAAGTTGCATGTATAAAAATAGTGCATACTTTTGGCCTTACTTTTACTGCCTCAGTTCCCCATCACACTGGGGTGTGGGAAAAATAATATTTGTGATTCAATTAGACCCTATGCTGAGAACACCATACGAAAGATCCTGAGGAAATTATAATTCAGAGCAGGGTTTGAATAATGTGAAGTAAATAGACAGGCCTCCGTGTTAATGAGGATGAGACAGAATACAAAATAACTTCTTTTTCAGTGAGCCAACATTCCTCTTGTGCACTGAATGAGGTGGGAATCCTGTGAAAAACTAAAATGTAATCAAGTAATTAAAGACTATCATGATGCATATGTATCAAGTCAAAAGGGAAGGCAACCTTAATTCTTCTATTTCTTAACTACTGAACATAAACTTGTAATCAATGTTCTTTCAACACAGATTTAGAATTACACAAACAAAACTAATAGGAATTTGGATAGGACATCAGCATTTACACTTCTACTCATGTGAGGGTGCAAACATTGCTTCCCTTTAGCGCTCACTGAAAATTGGGAATTAATTACTTTTCACTTTTATGTTACATGTCTTGAGACAAACTAGAATTTGCAGAAAGAATGTACATTTTATGCTTAACTCACTATTTTTTGAAGGATTGGGGGTACATTTCCATAGCTTTTGGGAAGTGGAATATCTGTTCAGAAAAGGGTCTAAGATTTGTTCAAATAGTCATATAGTAGCCTTCCTACAAGATAATTAATCTCAATCCCTGTACCTTATGTCTGTATCTTTTGTTTGATTCTATCAATTCTTTCCTCTGCCTTAAATAGATTATTATACATTCCTGAAAATAGAAAGGATAAAAATAAGATTTACAATATATGTTGTGTGGACTCTCTTCCTGAGTACAGTTCCCTTAGTACTGTTCAGTGGAATCAAGCTACATATTTGGAGTTACTAATATTTTACTCAGTTAAGCTGTAATGTCTAAATATATTACAAAATAGCATATAAATTATGTTTCCTCAATGTGTTACACTGTCTCAAAGGTAACTAATCTAGAAGCTTCAGTGACACAATAGCCCATATTAATGGTGAAAAGTAACTCAGATACTGTAGTGCAGCATTTCCCAAACTATGGGCTGTGGCCTGGAAAAAAATACTGGGCCTCAGCATGGCTGCCGAGGTGTTCTGGGCTCCTAGAGTGCCTGTGCGGTGCTGGGTCCCCCAAGCCCTCGGCTGGGCTGGGCGGAGTCTGAAGCCAGATGTTCCAGGCTCCCGGCAGAGGTGTAGCAAAGGGGGGAGCAGTAGCCCCCAGGCGCCATGCTAGGAGAGGTGTGGCGTGCTGGGCTCCCCGGGGCTGGGGG